AAAGAAAAGTGTTTTTTTTGTCAAATTTTACATATAAATTTGGGTGAGTCAACTCATTTGATTTATATGTAACAACAACCAAGGGGACATGTCTCACATCTGCTATGTACAGATAAATTTCTGATTAACTGAAAAAATCTAAAAATGATATTTTCAAGTTTCCGCCATTTCAATAATTGATCACACGAATGAAGAAAATATATGAATTAATGTAGCTTTATTCTTACAATTGCTTAGGGTGAAGGTACTGTATTGCAGGAATGGTAAATGACCTGAAATGACTCAAATGATTCAAATGACTGGTCACGGGTCACTATTAGGGTCATTCGATGATCAGACGCCTTTAGCCAATCAGAATTAGTCACCAAGCTATAATTGATGATTACGTACTTTTTGTACTATCTCTATATTAAATAACTATATATATATATTATTATTACTGTAATAAAGTTGTAAAAAAGTATGATCTCAGGTTTACACGTAAAATTACTTACTTTAGCTCAAATATGATTTATGTCATTGAAATAATTTATTTTTAGGATAAAAATAAAATCTTAAAATTTTAGTTTTAGAACGCTTGAGCAAATCCAATAGCTTTGTTATCCAATGCTTGAAATTGATTGATTATGTAATATATTGACTTACATCCTTGATTAGCTGGTTATATAAATGACCAAATGGCCCCAAATTCAAATGATCAAGAATGACCGGTCATTTGAGGTCATTTGAAGCCATTTGAAAATAATAAGCAAATGACCTGGTCATTTACCAACTTTGCCGGTATTGTGTACACGTGATATCAAATTTTAAGTTCCATCTCGCTTAATATAAATTTTATTAAATTTAATAGAACACATTTTTTAAACTGTCAACATTGTGATATATATAATATACAGTATATAGTATACAGTATAAGTAATAGTTATACACTGGATGTTATGGGTATAACGGAAATTAACACAGTGTATAACTGATTTATACCCTTGATATACCAGGGGATAAAAAAATATATTTCACTGCTTAGAAAATTATATCAAGTTTTGTTGTCAATAATTTCCGAAGGATGTTCAGAGTTAATACTGATACTGCCCATAATTAGAAGGTAAAAACAAAAAAAAAAATCTTTATGTCGAATTTAAGTAGATAAATTAAGTGATGTAAGCGATCGTCAATATCTATCCCATTGTACCGTAAATAAGCTATAACGATAATGCCGTAGCTATACTTAACACTTCGTTAGTATCCAAGAACAACTCCAACTGAATTAAATTCTTACATTCACTTCTTAAATGATTATCTATTGAAAATTGCTAAAATAATCTAGGATGTATATTGCTTTATTAAATACTAAATACGTAGTATACTGGCGTTCGTGCCTAAGTAAATAAATCTAGTTCATATGAAGGTAAAGAGTATACAGACAAATTATGTATCAGCAAAACTTAAAAATTATTCTTTATTAATTATTATGGTCACCAATAGTAATTGTTATACAAATCATTCAGGATATAACTGATTTATCCTCTGCAATTCATGTAATATTGTTGCAATTTTTATTAGCAAAACAGACCCGAAATATCTACAGATAGGTAAGGTTTTTAAAAAAATCTTAGCATATCACTAAAAATAGAGAATATCTATAAATACGTATTAATATTACTAAAAATGGAAAAATCTACAAGACAAAAGAAAAGTTACTCGAGCATTTTGAAAGTCATGAAATTTCTAATCGTCAAACTACAAAGTATATGAATAAAACTTGGCCAATCAGATGTAGTCTGGTCCAGACTAATAATTTATAGTTATAGGAACAGACCAGTCTAAACTGGTTTGGACTAATTTAATGATGATTATACAGTAACGGTAATACGTAGACCATTTATTACAATAAGGAAGCTGACAGATAAGAACTCATATAGACCCCCACCTCCAAACCCAATATCGCCTTTTACCCCTTTTTAGGGGGTAAAAGAAGTAAAGGGGGGTGGGTTTATATGAGCTCTTATCTGTCAGTCTCTAATAATTATTATTGATTATTCGAACCTGGATTATGTATTTTACATTTCTGTCAGTTGTTCTAACCATTATATAAAACATTTGAATCACATGAAGTAATATATCGGAGTCAATTTTAATTCAGAGACGTACCTGATTTTTGGGGGCGATGCTAGGGTGGTTCCTCTAGATTAGAGGTATACATCGCGCGAGATAATAAAAATTTCTCGCAACTTCAATATCGCGCGAGGTAAATAATTCAATTATAGCTACCCGATACGAAAGTATCGGAGCAATTTTTTGTCTCGAATCGATCACAGGTGTAGTAATTGATCATTGATTTACCGTATGATTTTGTCGTTTGATACATTATCGTGATTTTGTGACGTAATGGAGTAGCATTTGCGATTAGTAATAGTTAATAGTATTTGATTTTTTTCCCAGATAAGGGGAGTGCTGTTTATTACGTAATTTCAAGAGGGTGGGAGGTCCATCACGTCTATATATATTATATGATTGGTTGCTAATTCGATCAACAGAGGAGGGGTATGCCCTTATAATAATAAGAAATTACGTAATAAACGGTCTTCTCTAAGGTAATTCTGCTAACCCGACTTTGTCTGGTTTTTTCGCCCAACCCTAACGAATGACTATTGGAGCTGTAACTTGATGGCCTATCGGGACGACAGTTATTGTTTAATTGTTTTTAGATGAATCTGAGTTTTATAGTATAAAGTGGTTTGTCAGGACGACAGTCATAATTTGAGTGTTGTAGAAAATGTCCTGTCGGAACGACAGTCACGAAGGATTTCTTTTGTTTCTGTGTAATAACACTAGTCTAATTCTAGTTTGCATGGTAAACAGCGGGGTTTTTTCCAAGAGATTCTGTTTTTTTTTCGCCTCGTCCTCAAAAGTTGCCGTCATAGTAACACTCATGGTAAACAGTAGCATAAGTTGCTCATTCGATACTCTCGAATTCTGCACTATTAGTATGTATAGCACGAAAACGGAAGGACAGAATACCCATAGTTGTTCTTCACTTGTCGATAAGACAAAAATTAAAAATTCACGTGTATCACATAAAATCGCGCGATGTGACCTTGCGTGAGGTGTGTGAATATATGCTAAGTTTACCTCGTGCGAGGTACACCTCTACTCTATATTAGATTCACTTTAAGATTTAACTCATATGTACTGTACGTAGATTTTAAATAACTAATGTAACAATAACAATGATCATCTGTAAATTTAAAAAAGTAGGCAATCGACAAAAATTTTATTATGTGAATAGATGCATAAAATGTTGAATTACGTATATGTAGAAATAAGTTGATTTACAATTAACTCAATTTTGCAAAAAATGCCATAAGCCGTGTTTTGTTGACCAGGCTCATATACTACGTAAACAGTAAATAACGACTAAATATGGTAATGTCTAACAATTGCAATTAGGTATTTAATAGGGAAATAATCGGACGAATTCATTTCGCTTTCTTTACAGCACAAAAAGACACGAAATGTCTGCGCATGAGTGGCAAGCAGCTGGTCCGGATGATAAAAGGTCACCATGTCCCGCATTAAATTCCTTAGCTAATCATGGATATCTGTAAGTATTCAATATCCATAAACGTTACATTTATTTCCTTTTTTTTTTTAGAAAATTAATTTCAATAAAAATTCTATATTTTTTATTAGACCTCGTAGTGGAGAAAATATCACAAAGAGTCAACTTATAAAAGCTCTTAAAGAAGGTCTTAACGCATCAACTGCAGTCGCCTATTATTTAACTTACACTAGCCTTCATGGTATTGGCAAGCTATGTGCTAAGACATTGTATGTAAGCAAAATATATTCTGAACTACAGTATATCGGTATTCATATATATATTAACTATATAATTATATATTTATTTATCCATATATGTATTATATATCTTTTTTTTTAAAAAAAAAAAGTAATCTTGACGATCTAAATCAACACAATAAATTAGAACATGATGCATCACTAACTCGAAAAGACTTTTACTTTGGTGATAACCACACAGTCGATCCGGAATTAGTTGATTTATTACTCGAACAGAATATTGATGGAAAAATCAATGAAGAAGCATTATCAAAACTTCATTGGATTCGATTAAATAATTCAAAAGAATCAAATCCAACTGTAACTTATGATAATTCACGAAAGTTTACTTCGGGAGGTGAAACTTCTTTATTATTAAATTTTATTGGTGCTAATACAAATTATGAGATCGATATTGAAAAATTAGAAGTATTTTTGAAATCTGAAAAGTTTCCAGAAGGATGGAGAAAACCCGATAAGACGGTTGGAATTTGGCCACTCGTAAAAATGTTAATGTCATCGCTAAAAAGATTTGATCAACTGGAAAAAGAACAGAATGAACAAAATGCTAACTAATTTTGGGTTTCTATGCTTTTTTAAATTTGGAATATAGTCTATTATAAAGATCAATGCTATGTATAATATATTCTTTAACGTTAACAACTTTAACCCAAATTTGGAATAAAAGGGAATAAAAGGCGCATGTAATTTTTTAATGTTTACGTTATCCTAGAGACAAAATTAGTACAATAGTTTTTCTGGTATTTTTTGAATTTACTCATAACGGATAAAAAAAATATGAATACACAAGAATGAAAATACCCAAAAAAAGAAATCATCATTAGCAAAAGTATTTGCCAATTAAAGTTTCATTCATTTTTTTTTTTTTTTTGTTTTACGTGTTTAAAGGAATTTAGCAAGATAATACGAAATTAAGATGATTTAAAAGAGGAAATAATTCGTAACCAGAATCACAATGGGTTTACATCCAATATAAATGCGCATTAATTGACTATAGCTAAATATACACGTAATTTTTTTTTTTTTTTTTTTTTTGTACAAAAACTAAATAAAACTTTACACACAATGCTTTACACATAATGTACATGTTTTACACATATATAAACCATAATAAATTTTTTTTTTTAATAATAGAAAGGGGATTTTTTTTTTTCTAAAATTTTCCTACGAACTCCACAACCTAATACTGTATCATTTGAGTTTTCAAAGCGAACGCATCCTTAATAGTTAAATCGAAATTTATACGGTGTGCGATCTCAAAGGTCCATACAATATTCGTTCCTATTATCGAAACAAATAATTAAATGACTAAATCAAAAATAGGAAAATTGTTTTTAACAAAACATGTTTATAAAAAACAAATAATTAATTACAAACCCAAAAACTCCTACGTCGGCGACCATCCCGTTTAATTATCTTGGATAGCTCACTAACTCGTTTTCTTGCTGTTTCATGTCCATTATCGGCTGCTTTCGTATACCATTCAAGTGCCTTTTCTAAATCTTTAATCGTACCTCTACCATATTCATAACATACACCCACTCGACATTGTGCTGTCGCATATCCTTTTTCACCGGCTGCTTTGAAAAACTCAAATGCTTTATATGGATCACAAGGTGTACCAAATCCAATATCATGACACCATCCAACATTATTATGTGCAGAAATACATCCCCGATTAGCTGCTCGTTGAAAGTATTGAAATGCTTTTTGTGAATTTTTTTCTGTCCCCATTCCTTTAAAGTAACACCATCCTACATAAACTTCACCACGTGAATTTTCCAATTCAGATGCTTTAGAATAAAATTCAAATGCTATTTGTGGATTTTGAGCTTTTCCAAATCCATGTTCGCTAAAAAATCCCATTATGAAATAATAATCAGGAGTTCTTGATGGATTTTCTTCAAAAATTGTATAAATGTCTTTAGGTTTCTTTCCTTTTTCTCGACAAAAATACTCCAATTTTTTTATCATTATATCATCAGTATATTTTTCCCAATTATCGCATACACTCATTACATCTTCCATTAAACCAAGTTCAGGTTTAGATGCTAAGAGACTTTTTTCAAATGGCGGAACTTTTGGAGTCTTTGGTGTCTCACTAGATAATGCTTGATAATCGAATTGTACTTTAAGCTTGGATGGATATTTATTAACACTTGCACTATCTTGAGTGGAACCATTACTAGAAAGACCTGAAAAACCTGAAATACTACGATCACGTACTTCACTTTCATTGCTACTTGATTGACATGTTGTGGAATTACTAGGTCGATTACTTATTTCTATATTGCCTTTTAGAAATACACAATTATTACCATTACTCTGTTTACTGTAATGGCAGGTCGGTGATTTACTATCACAAGATACTTCTATACCCGCTTTTTCGATGCCAAGATCTTTTTCACTATCTATTGGGGTCTCAATCGATGTGGATGTTGATGCACGGTTACTACTAGTGTCGGAGTAATTGTAAGCAGACATAGCTTCATCATCTTCGTCGGGTTCAAGGTCATCGATGGATAAATCATCTATACTGTATTGTACTTCATTTTCCTCATCCGATACTAAAAAAAAAAAAAAATTAAATAGTAATTTTTAACAACAATAATGAAGAATAAAAAAAAAAAAGATGACATAGTTATGATGTTAAAAGAAATCTTACTATCATCATCAAACAAATCCTCTAATTCGAGTCTTGCAACTGCTAGATCAATTCGTTCTCCGGGATAATATTTAGTTAGGTCTAAAACAAGTTGACTATAATTTGATGGAGTGTTGTTCGGTAGTTGTTTTATAAGGCGATACATTGAATTCGGGCTTCGTTTATGTTCTTTTATTTCATCATCGTCCATGCCGTCGAAAGGATGTTCACCATCATTGCCAACTAAAAAAAAAGAAATATTGTTTATTAGAAATAATTATGAGTAAAAAATATATAAGATCGTAGAAAAAAAACTTACCGGACCACAAGATTAATCCGTAAGAATATATATCAGAGAGTTTAGGGTGACTATGGTACATAACTAAAGTGAAATCGCGTTTAGAAAATTAAAAAGAAACTTGAAAAAGATAAAAACATACTTTTCAAAGAGTTCTCTCATTTTTAGATCACGGCAGACCCGTTCTGGAGCTACATAATTTAGAGTTCCACCCGCTTTTCCATTATCCAAGACCATTCGACTTTTAGTTTTCGAAATTCCAAAATCAGCCAATTTTGGAATTAAATTTTTATCCAAAAGAACATTTTCAGGTTTAAGGTCAAAGTGTAAAACATTATTATCATGACAATGCATCAATCCCAAGGCAATATCACGACAAACTCTGGCCTTAAAATTCCAATCAACAGTATGAGTTTTAAGGTAACTAGAAAGATTTCCATTTGAAGCATATTCCAAAACAAGAGAAAATGTATATTTATCATCTCGTGTTACACCGTAAAACCTTATTATATTGGTATGGTTACGAAGTTTAAGATAATTGCTATATTCTTTCAATAATAGGTCCATGTCTCGCTGGTGGTATTATTCATTGTTGTACACACAGATAAGCAGCAAACGAAAAAAGATAATAAGTAATCAATAGTTATCAATAAAAGAAATAAATATATGATAGGCTTACCTGACTCTTTTTCACTACTACGGGTTTATTCTGAAAAGAGGCCAAAAACACTTCCCCCATAGCACCTCGGCCGATGGCAACAGGCGGCTGTGATAAAGTAACTTTGCTCTTTTTTATTAATATTCTATTGGACATGTTTGTTTTTCTAATTTCTTTTTAAAAGAATATATAGATAATTATTTAAAGGAAAGAAATAGAGCAAAACTGAGTGAAAGTGTTTAAGGTGAAGAACGATGAAAACCAAAAAAAAATAAAAAAAGAAAGATATTCCGAATATAACGCTAACCTTGAGAAAGTTGGAAGATCCTGAACTACGTACGTACAACCAAAGATTAAAGTCCTGATGATCGCGTACTAAATTGGCGCGGAAGTTTTTAATGGCGCGCATTTATTAATAATATTAGTATAAAAAATAAAATAAAATAAAAAATATTATTGGCTTTCTCATTGTCAATTGTCAATTACGTGCTACTGAAGATTATTTTTATGCAGTTTTGTGAGGAATATTGTATTATTGTCTTTTGTCTTGTATAGATACATTAATGAGCATCTCATTGTTCGTGTTGCAATGAGAGTGCATACAGAATTTCACTTTTCAAGAATCCATGCGGTATCCACGCATCGCTAAATCAATTCACTAAAGAATTCGTAGCTTTATGATTTTCTTTACATTTCATGATACATGAGATCATAGGCGCACAATTTATTTAACTGTTTAGAGGATATTAGATCATTTACCTCTCGTAATTTTTTTCGGCGCTGAGACCGAGAAATAGTACGATCGTCTGTTATAGAAGGATCCGTTTTGATCAGATATTCTTGTGTTTCGAAGTTCTCGGGTAACTTTTAATGGCTTATTTTAAAGCCAAAATTTTAATTTAAAAAGAAAGGATTCGCCATGTATGTAGTACGCCTAATACCTCGATTTGTGTCAAAGAGATTCTCTTAAAATTCCCCTGCATTTCTAAATTAATATATCTTGGTTTGAATTTCCTTATCTAGCTTTCATTCTCCGATTTTCATATTAGGTCTAGTTTAAATTGAAAGCAAGTTTTTCAAATAATTACGTTATGGATCTACAAACTGGGCAAAGTTTATCTGGCGTACATTTCTAAAATAGTTTACTGGCAGATTTATATGATTTTACAGATTCCTAAAACAATTTAACTGGCAGATTTATGATTTCATATTGCATATTAACACATGAACTATATTGTAATATTTTCTCGTCATTTCGGATTTTTTTGACACGCCGTTGATCTCTAATAAAAAATAATTTATGCGCGAAAGTTTATTAGAGAAAAATCTCATCTTTATCGGTTATTTAATTTTTTTGATCACTTACTTTGTTCGCTTTTTCTAATGGCACATTGTCTGCCATAATTGGTATTCTCTTGCTTTATACCGTTAGCTTTCAGTAAAAATTATGATTTATTGTATGGGAGAATATTTTTTTTATTGTAAAATTGACAATAATTATGATTTATTCCTATTACAGGTAATCGATTGCTTGCAAAAAAAAAAAAAACACCGATTGAGTTATTCAACATAGATTTCAAACTGATGCATGTTTTCAAATCTGATGCATTGTTTGATGCAAAGCTTTGTAAATCTCAAAGATTGTTAAGGAATGTAGTTACTTCAATATTTCTATAAATGTTTCCTTTTAATATAATATCATATCTTGAATACAAGTTTATGAAATCCTCTTTACATTCTACAATACTGTATCTTTCAACTTAAATAGGTTAGATTTCTTTGGCAGAATGGTCATCGCATCTAATTCATTATTATCAGCATTTCCTATATATAACAGCACTTAAAGAAATCATTCCCTAACAATATTTAGTAATTTTAATTATAGAATTTATATTTACTAACATCTCTTAACGTTAACGCTAAGTGTATGATTAAATATTTATATGCATTCTCCATAAATTTGGATAGATTCGATAAAATTTTGGTAACAAGAAATGTAATTGTTGGACATTCAAAGACAAACTCTTACTTATCTATATATGACATGTGATTATTGTACTATACAATAACTATTTCATGTAAAAATTTAATGGTTTCATAATTTAATTATCGGCATAGTGAATTGTTGTGATCAAAATCTTTTGAAGATCCTAAAACTTTAAAGTTCAAGGTTTATTTTTCAATGGTTTTCCAGAATTATGTTGGTCACTATTTGAATTGCTGAATAAGATCGTTGAAAGCTATAATGATTTTTTTATTAAAGTGCTCTAAATAGTATTTATAAAAATAAAAAAATAAATAAATATTAATATATTATGATATTTATATAAAAAAAAAAAATGAAATAGAATTAGCTTTTTGTCTACTAGTAGTACAGTTAAAGAAAGGTTTAGAAATCTAAATATATATCTAAGTAATTTTTTAAATTTCAAATTTTTTTTAATCAGCCAATAGAAATGCAGGCCGCTTTAAATAAATAAAAAGCAGCTTAGTTTAGCATGGGGGACATTCGATTCCGATGATTTCCGGGATCTACGTTACACAAGTATTTATATTGCATAGAATAGTAAAACCGGAACTTCGCGTATAAGCAAACTTCTGAAAAAAACTAGTATCGGTGCACTATTCCACTAATTGAATAACCTCGTAGC